GAGTCTAGGGCCACGGGCTCTGCTCCTCCGTCCTGGCTTTGCTCCTGGTCCCTAGTGTTTACTCCTGAGTCCGCCCCTACCCACCATCCGGCCTGAGCTGCCCGGAGAAGCCCCAGCAGCCAGCCTTGGGGAGCGTCTCTGCTCCAGAGGCATCTGGGCTCCCCGAAGAGCCTGCCTCAGGCTGTCTGAGTGGGGGGGGAGCCCAGTTACAACCCAGAGCCTGGGTGTTCCCTCTGCATCGCCCCTGCAGGGAGGGGTGTGTGGGGGCTGCTCAGACCCCCAGCAGCTCCTCCACGGCCACAAGCACTGCGGTGGGGGTCAAGGGTGCCTCTGCCTCAGCTCAGTGGGGAGGGAGAGGGGGAGAGTGATGGTCCCAGGGCCAGTGTCTCAGGCTCACTGGGGCCTGTCCTTGGGGGTGGGGTAGGAGGAGTTGTGACAAACCTGAGGGGCACAGGGTCAGAGGGGCTGCTTTGGGACACGTGAAAAGCTTATCCCAGCCTTGCTCTATCCCCCTATAGCACCCCCACAGGGCCAGGTCCTGGGGAGAGAGCAGGAGGGGAAAGGGAAGGAAGGCTGGTGAGGCTGGGGCTGGGGCTGGGGCTGGGGCTGGAGCTGGAGTGGGTCAGCTTTAGTTGAGGGTTCAATCCCAGTGACTCCAACCTGGGAGCAGAGGGTAAGCCAGCAGCTGGGCCCAGCCACAGAGGGCTCGCTGCTATCCCCGGCCTTCTCAGACCAAGTGTGGGCCTGTCTCAGTGCTGAGCGCCCTGGTCAACACCGGCCCCAGCCCAGCCCTGGGCCCCTGTAAGGGCCAGGACCAGTGCACCAGGGGTGCCGAGGGGTGCGGGGGTCGGGGGGAAGGAACCTTTCCCAGAGCTCAGAGGCTTCAGGCAGCTCAGCCCTCAGGGTTCAGCTCCTTCCTCTGTGCGCCCCCATTCCTGGAGGGGCTGGGTGAGACCCAGGAGCCAGATCTTGGACAGGCCCTGGGGACTGTCTCATTTCCTCCTGGTGACCCCTGGGTGCACCCTAGCATCCTGAGGGGGGGGGGGGGGGTGCTTGCACAGGGCTGAGAGCAGCCCTCCAGGGAGGCAGCTGGCCCTGGCGCGGCTGGGACTCCTCTGCCCTCCTCTGCCCACCGTGTGCCTGTGTGGGTGCTCCCACATGTGGATCTGCACCTCCGAATGCCTGAGGCTTTGGGATCTGAAACCCCCTCTTAGCTTCCCCACCACCCCAGTTCCCACCACCCCTGGGAGCTGCCGAAACAGCTGCCCCTCCTCAGGAACCTCCTCCACCTCCTCAAGAGCACTTCTGTTCCTCTTCCTCCCAAATGTGTCCTCTCTGGAGTCAGGGCGCATCAGCACAGAGCTGGGGAGGTCCCAGGCTTGGGGGAGGCAGAGGGAGAGAGTGAGGTGGGGAGAGAGGAGCCAGGTCCTGGCCAGGACTGGGAGACGGACGGACGGACGGACGGACCAGCGTGCACTTCAGCATCCTTTCCCCAGCGAGGTCCCCATCTTCAGGGGTAAGACGGCCCTGATCTGTCCCAGATTGCAGAGCTCCCCTCTGCCAGGGACAGGGGCCGGGGGGATAGGGGCAGCTCCTCTCTGCTGGCACCCCAGGGCCCCGCACTTGTGGGAAGTGAACATCCATCTGCAGCTAGCCAGTCAGCAGCGCGTGGGGCTTGGGGACACTTTCTCTATAGGAATGCTGTACGCACCGGCCTGTGTGTGGGTGAAGAACAGTAACACTGTGTGTGCGGTGGAAGGTGGGGAGGGGGGCCAGGGTCCCTCCGCCCTCCTGGTGCCCTAATGACCCCTGAGCTCAAGACACATGGCCTCTCCCATCCAGGTGGCGGGTTCAGGGTGCGGCCTGTCTCCTGTGGCTGCTCCCCTTCCCTCCCCAGGAACTCCAGGGACAGTGTCGAGGGGGACTTCTGGCTCCCCTGCGCCTCACCTGGGACTCCCTGCGGCCTCCCTGGGGAGCTCCCAGGGCAGGGAGGCAGGGAGGCCTGCGGGCAGGGGCCTCCGTTCCTTCCGGCCTCTATTCTCTTGCCCTTTGCTCTGTCCTTCCGAGAGGCTTCACATTCCTTCAAGGGGATGAGCTGGAGAGAGGGCTCTGCTCCTCCTTGTCCCTTCACGGGCTGAGCCTCAGTTTTCCCTTCTCTAAAATGGGGAGCCCCACTGAAGCACCCCTTTGAAGGGTGAGTGAAATGTGTCCGTGGCAGCTCAGCTGGGTGGCTGGGGTCGCTGGTGAGGAGGGCATGCCTGGCTGAGTTCCGAGGTCAGGAGCCGGGGGTCAGAGGTGCCTTCCTTCATGGGGTCCTAGTTCCTGGGGAGCTCCGCGCCCAGAGCCAGGGAGGCTCAATGAGAGCTTTGCCCACCCGAGGCGCCCCGCGCTGCTCGCTCGCCGCTGGCCTGGCCCCAATCGCATC